TACATCTCTCTGTCTCTCTGTCTCTCCTTCTCTGCATCTCTCCGTCTCTCTGCATCTCTCTGTCTTTCTGTCTCTCTGCATCTCTCTGTCTCTCTGTGTCTCTCTGTCTCTCTGCATCTCTGTCTCTGTCCATCTCTGCCTCCTCCTCCCCGCCCCCAACCCTCACCCCGTCAGGTGCCCCATTAGCCCTTCCTCCCACCCGGCCCCTGACACGGCCCCCACCCTCCTGCAGGCACTTGCGGGCTCCGAATCATCGGGGGCCACGAGGTGAGACCCCACTCCCGGCCCTACATGGCATCCGTGAGGTTCGAGGGCCAGCACCTCTGCGGGGGCTTCCTGCTCCGTGCACGCTGGGTGGTCTCGGCGGCCCACTGCTTCAGCGACAGGTGAGCCCCCGGGAGATGTCACAATCCTCACGTCCATTCTGAGGACTTCGTTATAACAGCGAGCGTGAATATTGACATTACTGCAGTTAACAGTCTAATTCAGGGGGGATTTATAATAACCACAGTCAGTGTGATATTCACTCTCCGTATACTTTTATAATAATTATTAAAATTAATATCCCAGCCGTGGGGGGTAATACTCTAATCAGGTGGGAACAGGCATCCGGGGCCAGCGGGAGGCTGGAAGGGGGTTTCGCAGACGGGGAGATCGAGGCTACGATGGCGGCTTCACCCCACTCCCCCCCGCAGAGACCCCCGCACGGGCCTGGTGGTGCTGGGGGCCCATGCCCTGCGCACCTCGGAGACCACACAGCAGGTGCTGGGCATCTCGACCGCCGTCTGTCACCCCGACTATCACCCCACGACCCACGCCAATGACATCTGCCTTCTGCGGGTGAGCGGGGGCCGGGTTGCTGGCCACAAGTCTGGGCTGTCCCCGCCACCCCCGGAATGACCCGCCGGGTCCCCCCAAGTGCGGCAAAATTCAAAACGGAGAGAGCGGACACGACAGAAACGGGCCCCCGGGAACGGGAGGGTTTCGGGCGCCGTGTTCTGGGTGATGTGCACGGGGGGCAGCGAATGTCCACAGCCAAAGCTCGCCTGTGGACGTGACTCATCTGTGAGACCCCGAAGCCCGGAACCCGCTGCTCTGGTTCACCCATCGCATCACGCAGACGGGGAAACTGAGGCTGAGGGTGGTCAGGGATGCGCCCGAGGTCAGGGAGCGAGTTCCAAGCCAGGGGCCTGAGTCATTCATTCCACGACCACTGATGGAGCGCCAGCAGCGTGCCATGGACATCAGCCTGGGCTGCCCTCTTAGAGCCCCGGGTCTAATGGGGTGGCAGCTGGGTAAACCCGCCTTGACGGGGGCACATGGGAGCCCAGGGGAGGCACCCGTCCTAGCCTGGGAGTGTGGGAAGGCTTCCAGGAGGAGGCGACGTCCGACCTGAGACCTGAAGGTTGGGTAGGACAGGTGCTCCGGGCAGGGACACAGGTGGACCCAGGGTGGGAGTCAGTTCCTTCTGGCCGGGGGGAATGGGGATGGCCGAATGGTGACCCAAGGAGTTTTACCCCGAGGGCAGTGGGGAACCGCGGGAGGAACAGGGAAGGAGATGCTGGTGAGAAAGACCCTTTGGGCAGCGGGGGAGGTGAGGCTGGAGGCTGGGGGTCGGGGGAGGCTGGAGTCCTGGTCCAAGGGCCTGAGGCCCGATGGGTGGGGGGCGTGTGGTGGCGAGACCAGCAGGGCCTTCTGACGGCCTCATGGTGGCTGCTGTTGGTTTTTCTCCCCGAGGCCAAGGGGTGGCCAGGGGTCACAGACGGGTAAACCGAGGCAGGCGTGGTGGCGGGTGCTGGGGGCGGTCCTGAACTCTGCCCTCCCCGCAGCTGAACAGCTCTGCCGCCCTGGGTCCGGCCGTGGGGCTGCTGAGGCTGCCGCGGGCGGGCGCCAGGCCACCCAAGGCTGGGACACTGTGCTACGTGGACGGCTGGGGCTCCACGTCCAACTTCGAGGAGCAGCCCCCGGGGCTGATGGAGGCTGAGGTCTATGTGCTGGCCCTGGACATCTGCAACAGCTCCTGGAAGGGCCAGCTGAGCCCCGCCATGCTCTGCACCCACAGCGGGGACAGCCATCGGCATGGCTTCTGCTCGGTAAGACCCTCACTCTCCGCCCCACCCACTTACTGCGTGGGGAAACCAAGGCCCACAGAGAGGGTCAGACTGGGCAGAGCCTCGGGAACTAAGTCCCAGCTCACCTTCAACCAGACGGGTTGCACCTGAGGCCCTGGAAGGGCAAGGAGTTGCCCAGGGTCACAGGGTTGCCATGTACGGCTGGGCAGGTTGCACACTGCACAGAGCTACACATTTGTGCATTTCTAAGTGGTGTCCAGTAGGGAGCAGTAACAGATCTCAAGGAAGGAACTTCTGCTCCTATGACCTTGTAGAGACTAACAGCAACCCAGGCCCTGGCGCCGAGGGAGGAACTTAGCCCAGGGGGACTCTTGTTCCAGGCGAGAGAGTTCAGTGGTTCAGAACATAAATGCAGACGGTGCCACTTCCCAGATGTGTGGCCTTCAAATAGTCATGTTGCTTCTCTGGACCCCACTTTCTCCATCTGTCAAACTGCCAGTTCATAGGGTCAGAGCTGATTTCAGATGATAATTTGGGTAATAGAACCAGGGAGGGGAGGGGAGGAGGGGAGAGAGCAGGAATTTTCAGGGAGTATTCAGGGAGGCCTCTCTGAGGAGAGCACCTCTGAGCCGAGGCTTGAAGGAGCCTTGAAAAGATCCGAGGGAAGGCATGCCAGCCGAGGGACTGGTCGCAGGCGCTGTGTACAGCTGTGCAGGCTGTGCACTGCACAAAAGGCAGCTGACTTGTGTATCTATACGAGTCACGTCCAGTAGGGGACAGTAACAAGTCTCAAGAATATGCAAAGGCCTACAGGCTGGAGCAAGGTTGGTTTGATCCGGGAACAGCAAGGAGGCTGGTGCAGCTGGAACCAGGTGAGTGAAGGGGAGAGGAGGGCAGACAGGTGGGCAGGGGCTGGAGCCTCAGGGCCTTGAAGGCTGAGGTGAGGGGTTTAGTCTTTGCTGTAGGAGCACTAGGGAGCCACAGAGGGGTTCAGAGGCAGAGAGGGTCCCGGTCGGATTTACATGAGAAGCAACTTCGGGGAAAGCGAGGCTCCAGAGAGGGACCCCCGACCTCGCCTTTCCCCCCACTCCCAGGCGGACTCCGGGGGGCCCCTGGTGTGCAAGAACCGGGCCCACGGCCTCGTCTCCTTCTCGGGCCTCTGGTGCGGCGACCCCAAGACCCCCGACGTGTACACGCAGGTGTCCGCTTTCGTGAGCTGGATCTGGGACGTGGTTCGGCGGCGACCCCAGCCCGGCCCCCCACCCGGGACCCCTGGGGCCCCTGCGGGAGCTGCCTGAGCTGCGGGAGCGCCGGGTACACACGGGAGATGGAGAAAGATGAAGATGGGCTGGGGCCTGGAAAGTTCCGCGGCCAGGCAGGAGCTCCAGGGGCCCCCAAACCGGGAGGCCTGGTGTGTGTGGGTGGGGGGACATCACTTCCAAACAAAAAGGGCCAAAATAACTGAATAAAATGCTGACTGGCTAACCAGACGGGATGGTCCACCTGCAGGGCCCACCCACATTCCTTCCAGCCACTCCTCGGCCCCACCGTGGCCAAGGGTCCCACTCTGCCACTCACTCCCCGGTGACCCTGGCCACTGTCTCGCTCCCTCTGCTGCAGGACCTCTCCACTTTCCCCCTGCTGACCCCTCTGGATTCACCTACCCCCCACCCGACACTCAGGACGGCCTCCCGGCCTTCGCACCTGCTGTGCCCCCAGCTGGAACGCCATTCCTCCAGTAACCACACCCGCAGACAAACAGAACCGTATGGACGGAACCGAGGCTGGGAGGGGATGGGGTCTCCCGGCCCCCAGTGTGGGGTCTCGGGTGGGCCGGCCTCCTCGCCTCTGAACGGTGCCTGGAGCAAACGGCGCCCGGCCCGCACCATGAGCCGGGTGGGTCCCAGCTGGCGTTACTGCTGCAGTACTATTATTTATAGTGTTATTGCTGTTATTGCACCCCCGAGCCTTCCAGGCCAGGCCTTTGCATCTGGACCCTCAACCAGGTGGCTTCTTGGGGCTGCCCTAAGCCATCTCGACGCCCCTTCCCTCCCCTGCCCCGTAGAGGCCTCCTTTCTCTCCAGCCGCCCCCAGCCCACCTGCCTCAGCCCTCCCCTGCTGCCCAGTGCCCGGAGGTGGACACTGGGACCCAGAAATGGACGGAGGCTGCCCCGAGGACATATGTCCATGTCAGCCCGCCGGACACCTCCAGAGCCCCCCACTCACCACCCTCACAGCACCCCGGCCCCGGGCCAGTACCTCCTACCAAAAGGGGGCGGCACAGAGAGAGGGGGGCAAACCGAGGCTTGGATGCCCCATGGTGGCTTCTTATAGTATTTATTTCTTTGGTGAGTAGGACCCCAGGGTGGCAGAGGGTGCCTTGTCGGGGGGCTGGGGCGAGCCCACCTCCCCCAGGGCACTTTTCTGGGGGTCACGGGTAAGGCACTTCCTGGGGCTGGAGACGGTGACCACAACGGCCCCTTCGCTCCTTGCCCAAACTCAGGGAAGCTGGGCTCCTGCCCACTGGGCCCCCCTTGGCTGGTCTGAGCCTCTGGTCTGCATGCAGGGACCCGGAGGTGACACTGAGTGACAGCCCAGACGGAATGGAGGGAATCGGCCGAGGCCTCATCTGGCTGGTGTTGAGACCCCCGAGCTGGGCAGGCGGGCGAGGAGGGTCCACCCGGGAACTGGGCCGAGAGGCCTGGCCAGGGATACAGGGGTCCTGTGTCTGGACTCCCCTGTGCACGGGCAGCAGGCGCCACGGTGTGGCTCAGACACACGGCTCCAGGAGGCCAGGTGTGCAGGGGGCCTTGGGTCTACACCCCACCCTGGGCCAATGGGTGAGCAGGGGCTCCTGAGCCCACCGGGTCCCCACGTAAGTGGACTGGTCACCACTGGACGTGGTGCCCTGCTCTGGGCCGAGGCTGGCGGCTCCACGCCTGAGGCCTGTGTCAGATGGTACAGATAGTGTCCCCGCCCCCCGGGGACAAGCTGCTATTTCTCGGAGGTACCTGGGAAATGGAGGCCACGGGGAGGGTAGGCCCTGGAGTTCTCGGGCTGGTAGGGGACAGTGGCTGTTTCCTTGGCCTCTCTGGGTCTGGGCACGTTTTGAGGCTCATCTATACACTCCAGACAGTGGGCTCCCCCATCACCCCCTGTTCCCTGTTCTTGAAGGCTGGGATTCCTCTTAACTAACTGCTCCCCAGCCCTCCTGGTGGCGGCGATAATGCAGAGTTATCCCCCATGGAGCAGAAACGTGGGGTCCTCCTGGGCAGTAGGGTGGCTAGGGTGGCGTCCCAGGGCTCCTTCCCCCAGTCCTTCCAAGCCATCGTCTGGGCACTCCGGGGCTCCCGAGTGGTCCCGGTCCAGGCTCTGGGGAGTGTCCGTGGGACATAAATTAAACTCTGCTGGGGCAATAAATAACACGGGGAGGCCTTGAACGCCAGGCCCAGGCCACCCCGCAGGCTCACACGAAGTTCTCCTCTTCTGCCTCCTCCTCCTCCTCCTCGTCCTCCTCCTGCTCCGACTCAGCATCTGACGGCTCGGGGGTGCCTGCAGAGGGGGAGGCACGGAAGGAAAGATAAGGGCGCGAAGAGGGGCCGGGGGCTGGACCCCGCCACTGCCCCCGCCCCGCGCCGCACCTGTGCAGCTGCCCGGGTGGCGCACGCCGATGGAGCGGCCCAGGAAGCAGGTGGCCTGGCGGAGGTGGCACGAGGACATGTAGGTGACGTTGTTGTTGCCGCAGAGCTCCTGGCCGGGGCTGGAGGGCGTGGGGCAGGGCGCCGCGCGACACACCACGCAGTGCGCGCTGCCCGTCTGGTCCACCACGCACGACTGCGGCCGCGGGCACACCACGTGCGCGCAAGACTCTGCGGGAGGGCGGGAGGCGGGGGTCAGGGTGGG